TTCTTCTCTTTTTTTTTTTTTTTTTCTTTTTCTTCTTTACCTTCAACCGCTCCTTCTTCTTCTTCTTCTTTGCCTTCTCCCGCTCCTTCTGTTTTATCTTCTTTTCTTTTTTCTTTCTTTTTCTTCCTCTTCTCTTTTTTCTTCTTCTTTATCTTCTTCTCTTTCTTCTCTTTCTTCTTTATCTTCTTCTCTTCTCTCTCTCCTCTTTTTCTTCTTTTCTCTCTCTTCTCTCTTCTTCTCTTCTCCTTCTCTCTCTTCTCTTTCTTCTCTTTCTTCTCTCTCTCCTTCTTCTCTTCTTCTCTTTCTTTTTCTTCCTCTTCTCTTTCTACTCTCACTTCTTTATCTTCTTCTTCTCTTTCTTCTCTTCTCTTTCTTCTCTTTCTCTTGGCCCCTCTCTCCTTATTATTTTATCTCTCCTCTTTTCTCTTTTTTCTTTTTTCTTTTTTCTTTTTCTTTTTCTTTTTATTGTTAGATGCTATCACCAGCAGGCCCCCCCCATCTCTTCTTCTCTCTAACTCCAAGCGAGCCCCCTCCCCCCTTCTGTCTCTCTGTAGGCTCTCCGCTGCTGCTGCTGCTGCTGCTGCTGCTGTTGCTGTTGCTGCTGCTGTTGCTGCTATCAATGCATGCAAAAAATTAACAAATATTTATTAAAAAATGGTTTAGGGTTTAGGGTTTAGGGTTTAGGGTTTGCGTGTGTGATGTAGGCGGCTGTCTGCTGAGCAGCAGCAGCCTTTGTTGTGTCTCTGTATAGACAGCAGCAGCAGCAGCAGCAGCAGCAGCAGGTGCAGCAGCAGCAGGTGTAGCAGCAGAAAAAAGCACAACCACCAACAACTCAACAGCAGCAGCAGCAACTCAGCAGCAGCAGCAGCAACTCAGCAGCAGCAGCAGCAAGTCAGCAGCAGCAGCAGCAAGTCAGCAGCAGCAGCAGCAGCAGCAAGTTAGCAGCAGCAGCAGCAGCAGCAGCAAATACCGAAGATGACCGCTTCTCCTCCTCCTCCTCCTGGTCTCCACCCCACCCCAGCAGCAGCAGCAGCAGCAGCTGCTGCTGCTGCTGCTGATTCGTTCATGCAGCCCCCTCTTGTCTCCTTCTTGCAAGGGGACTTAGCCTCAGCAACGGCGCTGCTGCAGCAGTACAGGCTGGAGCTGCAGCAGCAGCAGGTGCAGCAGCAGCAGGT